TGAAAACCTGTATGATCTGAGCTAACGTTGACAAAGAGAGAAGCCTCAGGCTAGCTTCACCAGGAAGCAGTGGGACATCGGTCATTTTTAGATGGTCAACAGTTACTCATGATGAGATTAATGACAAGCCAATTGTTATGTTATACTTTTTTTATAAAAACAGTAACAATAAATGACATAACCACGACAGGGCTGCAAATCAATCCATTAAGTGATTATGTCTAGAGATCAACAAATATATATCTTATCAACATTTAACCCTGTTTTTGTTCTACATTCTGACTGGTCTTAGCTCTTCTTTGCTAACTGCTAGTTATCCTTGCTACAGTATTAGGATGCTGTTGATCTCAGCTCTTCTTTTACTTCAGTGCTGATGAAACAGGTTTATCAGCAGTTGTTGTCTCTCCACATTCAGCCGTCTCTGAAATTCATGTTTTTTTCTCTATTCTCGTTCTGCTTTTTTTTTCTTGTTTTATTTATTGGCTCGGAGTAAAAGGGCTGACCCTGAAGGATGGCCCCAGATCACCACAGTGTTCTGGTCCAAAACTCTCACAGGACCATGAGCATCGGGTTTGTTGTTTCTTCAGAGGGAAGGAGGAAAAAAAGAACAGGCTGAATGAATTCTTTCTGATGTTTTATTCTCTGTTTCTCGAGTGCCTCCTCACTGCTGCCGCTGATGATGATGATGATGATGATGATGATGATGATGATGATGATGACACACTTTCTTTGATTCATCAGCTGTAGTAGCAGCTCCAGTGGAGGTAGTGAAGGAAAAGAGAGAAGAGGAGAGAAGGGAAGGATGGAAAAAGAGAGAAAGAAAGCGTGTGTGTAACATGAACATGAGTCTTGGGGGGAAACACACACACACACACAGAGATTCTTTAATGTGCCTTTGTTGTTTTTTTCTGTTTTCTGATTGATCTAGTTCTGTGTTCACACTAATTCTGCCAGAAAAAAAATGACAAAACAGCTGAAAGAAAGATAAAAATATATTAACCTTTGACAGGAAAAGATGGAGGTTAGAGAGAAAAGACCAAAGTTGATATAAATTAGTCCTACAAAAAAATAACTATGAATAGTCACAATGAGTTAATATTAATGAAAAAACAATCATTTATTATAATCCGGAAAGTAAATGTAAAAACTAAAATTTAAAGTAAGTTTTGAATACATAATAATTCAATCTCAATGTGGCCCAGGAGGAGTAACAAAAAATAATTTATGAAAATGACAAATAAAATACTAATCATAAAACTTGCTTAAAGTGAGTCTAGAACTGGGTCAGTAGTAGCTGTAAGTTTGTAGAACACAACCGGTGTGGTGAAAACCTTACCACGAGCCCAGAGGCAGATAAAGCAACAGGAAGATGAAAAGAAACGTTGAGGTTTTTATTGTCACAGTTTCCTCCTCTCTCTGTGACAGATTCATGGCTGCAGATGATTCAGCCAGAGACCTAGTTTTTCTAACGTTTTTATTTTCTGACTGCTCCCTGTGGACCAACACCAGGGTGAAGTTTTCTTTAAAAAGACAGAAAACACAAATGAATGGATCATTAAACATTTAAAGCACTATTCCCTCAGCGCGTGTGGCTCCAGGGAAAAATATTCGTCTTGTTATTGACGACCCAGAAATAAAAACCGGACTCATTCACAGCTGCTCTAAAGAAACTCACTCACAGAGAGAAAAAAATTTGACATTTCTGAAGAAATGTGAAAGAAAAGAGTGTATTGTAGGATTTAAGATAGTGAGAAAAATAAAATAAGCTCAATTTATATGGAATTTGTTAAAAACAACAAAAGAAGTTGAAGGATAAAATAGTCACAATAAAATAGTCAATAGTCAGAAGATAGTCACTAAAAACTGAACCACGACTATCGCTAAAGCTAAAAAATTAGTCAGGAATAAGAAAATGCTGCCACAGTCAGCCATATTGGCTAAAGGTTGGTGTTGAGGTATGTGATGAGAGATTTAGTTAAAAGTTGTTGTTGTTTTGTTTGTTTCTAAAGGCTAGTTAGTTAGGGGGAAAAAACAAAGTTTTTTAACCTATTATATTGGGCTGATCTGGAACTTCTTTTCTACTATAGGTATATTTTACATTTTAAGATAAATTAAGATTTTTTTTCTGTTCATTATTAATGTTATATTTCAATTATTAATATTTTGTCCCATAGATTTTGTTCACATTTTGTAGCTACTTTACTGTTTATTCCCTGCTTCATGCTGGTCACTGTGCGCACAGCACACACACACCTCACCATGCAGATTCATCTTCACACACACTCCTACACACACTCATCCACAGACACACACCATGGCATGTTCCTGTGATCGCTGCTCTCCATTTTCACAGGTGGTACTAATGAGCAGCTGCCTGTAGCTCACGGCTCCATCGTCTGCTCACAGACATGTCTTTAGTTTTATTTATACGACGATACGAACAGCCATAATTACAGCTTTGTGCTGCAAAGGGGCCAATTTAATAGGAACACATTCTGCCTGTTTAATGAATCAATTACAATTTGGGGTTTGTCGGGTCTGGAGAGGTGGAGGCTGAGCATTTGTTTCTATTAATTAAACTGTGTGCTGTTGTAATTTTAGAACAATAACAGAGATTGTCTGTCGAGGTGTCTGGAGTTTTAAATATATGTTCCATGATTAACCCTGGCAGGTGGGCTTCTAAAATGTGAAAACTCCCCAATAGTCTTCTGCCTATTTATTTGTTTATCCAAATTTATGCTAATTTATACATCAAGCAATTTTTGGCCAATCTATTGGCTAACATTTAGCCAGGTTCCACGTATATAGTTTTTTTACTTTTAGCTATTTGTTTGTTGTTGGGGCGTTGTTTACCATTAACATTTGTTTGGCCTTTGTACTTGACCTGTCTCATTTTGTGTTTTATAAACATATTATTCTTGTGTTATGTTAAGATTGAAAACAAATCATTGAATGTTTTCTATTGAGAACACACACGTGTCATCTTTGATAAAAGACTGATTCCATCATTGTTTATAAAAACGTCCACCTGCACTGACTTCACTCCAGAGCTGCAGTTTCTTACTCTTTTTTTTTTCTCCTTTTACATAAAACCGTTTTATAGAAGCCACTCACCTTGAAACGATGTTGCCAAGTAACAGAGTCGTCACAGTTTTTGTGCCTGCGTGTGTGTGTTTCTGTGTATGTCATTCACTTATGGGTGTTCAGGAAAAAGACCACATACAGTAAATTGTATACATGTAAGTTTCAATTGTTCAAATTCCCTTTTCTCAAGGAGCCCATGAGCTTAGTGGTTTACCCTTTCACAGTGTACTATGTTGCCCTAGTGAAAAGCACTAAGCAGGCCTGGTCATACTGCTGGCTCCATAGGTCATTGTCTTTACGTTGGGGGTGAGGGAGTGATCTTTGCTCATCACTGATTGGCCATAATGAACACTACGTTCACCAATAAGGGTGTCCACTTCTCGCACTAGGCATCTGGACACACTGGGCTTTTTTTCACAGTGTCAGCCAGGTTTAATGGCTGATTGACTTGAGTGGTTTTTCAGACACAGAAGCTGTGTGAGTGCCTTCATTGGTCAGGCTGCCGACAGTAGCTGTATCCAGAAGGTGGTCCTGACCCCTCTGGGAGGGGCCCAAAATAGAGCCTCTGCTCCTCCTCATAAAGAGGTGTCAGTTGAGTTGAGGAAATCTGGTTATAATGCCCTCTGGCCACTCTTCTAGTGAGGTACCATGACCCAGCTGGCTTGTGAGCACCTCAGGAATAAACCAGAGCTGAGTGAAGAGGGAAGTATAAGTGTCTCTACTGAGATTATTGCCCTTGTGACCCAACCTCAGAGCAGCAGTGCAGCCATAATAATTTAATGTTCAGTCAAAGTTTAGAACAGAATAACAGAAGTAAATGGTCAATGATTCATCGCATATTTCATCCCACATTGAGGAATCTATCTCATCAACAGCAAAGTTAAGTAGTTTTTTCATATATTGTTGGGCTTAAAAGTTTGATTTTCTGGAGCTAAACTGCTGTTTGTTTGTGGTTCTGCCCTGATTCCACTGTAAAAAAAATTGCTACATTTTCTAATTATTCTTATTTTTATTGTGTTAGAAGTTTAAATATGAACTACGGTAAAAAACAAAAACAAAAAAACGTTTAATTATTCATTTAAAGACATAAAGAAACTTGAAAGGGCATTACTGGTGCCTTTGCCTGTGGCTCCCTCAGCTGGTCAGTAAACGTTAGTGTTGGCGTTTCTTGCTGTTCATAGATTTTGTCTGCATTTGCGTCATCAAATTACCACAGTCCTTGGAAAATCTGTTTTTTTCTGCCGTCACGTCATAGTAGACAAAATAAGCGAGAAAAAACAGGAAACGCAGGTGTTTAAGCTTTCAAAATAAATATATATCAACCCTCGTTTTAAGCAGTAAAAGAAATTAGTAAATCATTTTCACATATCACTATGTCTACCAACACTGATATAGGAAACAGTATTGATAACAACACAAGGCATTCTAGGAATTTTGTATTTATTTTATTTACCATAAAAATCATTCCTAAAACAAAATATCAGACAATGTTTTTCTCTAATGCTAATCATATATATCTAAATTTACCTTGGTTTGAATCAAATTTGTCTTTTTAAATTCAGTAAGTGCAAGTTACTTTTTCAATCTTCTAAATCTTTTGTCATACTTTTTGTTAGGTTTGATTGTATATATTGTATCTATTACACCGTTCTTTCCTTCATGGAGGATTACTTTAAATTCATTTTCACTAAACACATAATTTAGAAGTAATTTTGTATTTAGCATTTAGATGTAACATTTAACTATAGTTAGTTTAATTTTGTGAAATGGACGGATATTATGTCATTATTAACAGTACGATAAAAAGATTGAGAATGAAATTGTAGATAGTGGTGCAATTTTCCACAGAACTATTTCTGCTTTATTTTGATACGCCAGCCCGGAAGTGTTGTGTTTCGGCCCTATCTTGACAATATTTTCACCATTGACGTGAGCAACAGTGTTTTCCTGTTCTTCAACAGCAGTATCAGCTCCGTGCTTTAGCTTGCCAATCGTCAGATTATTCTTGAAAGCGTCTCTTTGGCAGCATCATCCCCGGGCTGCTTCTTACCAAGTTCGGGTCGACGAGTAAAAGCAGGTCGGGATTATGGAACAAGCGAACAGGTACCAAGTGGTGAGTGTAAGCCAAATTCGACGTTAAAGCCAGCAAAATGTTTGCTCGGCCTTATTGGTACATAAACACGGGCCATCATGTAAATACGATATTTATAACAAACGTTTCTTGAAAATAATTGCCAGTAAGGTTATGTCTTTTGTTTTTCGAGAATAGCAGTCCCTGGAGGTTTTTTTAATTAATTTACTGAACATTTCATGCCACCAACACACCTTTTGAATTTACTTCCGCATTAGCCATGTTAGCATTAGCTCTAGGAAATAACGCACTTCGAGACAGTTATCTTTCTTTACGCTTAAATTATTTTCATGAAGCAATATTTTTTGTCCTGCTCGTGTCTTTTTCTATATACGTATTTATGTCAACATCCATTTATAATCACTTAAATTGATGTAACTTATTTTGCTGAAACTACACAGCTAACAAGCTAACGTGCTTGTAAGGTCTAGTCTATGTTTCTAGGCCATATGCATGGTGTATCTATTCTTCATTTATCAGTACTTAATGGTTTTGTGTGTGTGTATATATATTTCGGAAATATAACTTATAATACTGCAATCACGAGCCATTTTATACACACGTTTCTAGCAAGAGATTTTGTACACAACTGTCCCATACCTAAACAAGGCAAAGTATTGTTTGTGCTTAGGCCCAGTAGGGAAGTTGCGGAAATGTGAATGGAAGAGGATGATTTGGTCTTGAGCTTTCACTGTTTGCACTTTAAACCAGGAAACACACACACATATTTATGTATACATACATATGTATATACATATGTGTGTGTGTTTACAGTTTTGAATCAGACAAACACATATGTTTACGTTATGTATATGGTTACATCCAACCCACTCAAGTTGGATGTATCGGCACCTTTTTTTTTCTTTTTTTTTTTTTTGACTTGGAATTGGCCTAGCTATTGTGGGTAATCGACTTGGACTTGAGTTGAATTTGACTTTAATCTGAAGTTTGGCCTTAGCTAACACATCTCTTACTCAAAGTTGATGATTCAGAGAACCTACAGAGGTAAAAAGGTAAGCTTGAGTTTAAAAGTAATATATTGCATTTCACTGCTATGACCTTGTGTTGGCTCTTTTTTTTTTTTTTTTCTCTGACAGTTGCATAACGAGGAGGAATCATCGGATGGTTCTACATCTGTCAGTGAACAACAGCAGCAAGGGGCATGTTCTTCAGCTACAGCACAGCCTGCAGCAGCTAACCAGGACCAAAGAGCAACACAAGAGGTGCAGTCAGGCTCTGAGGCTCCACCCCCACCATATGCATCTATTGACTTAGGAGCAACAGCTGCTTCACCTGGTTTGTTTGTATTTTATTTTTAATTGTTTATACACCGTTATTGGGTTTTAATTCAATTTCCATTTGAACCATTATTTAATGACACAGTTGAAGAGAATGTTACAGAAAACTTTATAAGAAGCTTTTTTTATTTTTTACTCTAAGTTGTCCCTTTATTCTTTTAAGGTAGATTACTCTCTGCATTCAAACCCATCAGTAATTAACACAAGACGCACAAGCTTATTTGAAGCAGGGGAGGTTTTGGTGCTTTTTTTTTTTTTATTCGACCACAGTCCTGTTGGTGCCTGGTGGCGATCTTCTGATTACAAGCCCAGTCTTTTACTAGACCAGGAGCTGCCTCAAATTAGACCTGTCATATCTCACTTTTACTAAAGAAACACAACAGGTTTCTATGATGTCACCACCATTCATTTTCTTGAATGGGTTTGTGAGCCAATATATCTCTTGTGCCTTCCACAGAGACCAGTTTCCAGGGAGCGTTTCCTGTTCCTCCACCATACAGCGTTGCAACGTCTTTGCCAACATATGATGAAGCAGAAAAGGCCAAGGCAGCAGCCATTGCTGCCTCCTCTGTGGAGGTGCTGACACGGGTCAGTCACTAATTTTGTACACATTTTACATTTTGTTACATTACATTACACAATCATATTCTTTAATAGATGATGTACTTTGTGCTAAGAAATTACATTCATTTTTGTTTGTGTTTCTCTGTCAGGATGATGACTTCACTCCCAGAGATGATTTCAGTGACGCCGATCAGCTAAGAGTTGGAAATGATGGCATCTTCATGTTGGCCTTTTTCAGTTAGTTTCTTAATTTCTAATAGGCTTATTTCAAGAAGCATGTCTGTCAAAGATACAGCATGAAATCGCTAAATGATACAGTCGTACACTCAAACAATGATGCAATCCTACAAGGATTAGATTTTATGAAACTTTATTCATTCCACACTGGGGAAATTCAGTGGTTACAGCAGCAGGATACCCATGTAGTAGTAATAGTAACAACAGGGTAGGCACAGCATTTACAAGGTAAGCTACAAATATCGGCAAAGTGACCATTTCCAGCAAGGAATAAAGTGAGTAAAGTTATAGTGCATGCAGAACAAAATAAAAATAATGATACAATCATACACAACACAATGATGCAATTGTTGAATGATACAAGCATTTACTTATACAAAAATACAACCGCACATACACTAACTCTAATACAGTGATACAGTCGTACAATGATACAATGATCTATGCAATCTTACAGTAATACAAGTATGCAGTCGTAATGTCCACAAAGGTACAATGACACAGTTGAATAAAGGTACAATGGTAATGCAGTTGTAGAATATGATGCAGTCCTAGAATGGTACAATGATAGTCATATGTTAATACAGTCGTACAAGTGTGTAGTTGCAGTATCATACAATGTCGTACATTGTCTAAATTTTATAATGACATCATCATAAAATTATACAGTGTTACAAACAAAACATAAACAAAAACCTAACAAGAAGTTTGTGTTCCCTCTAGTGGCCTTCCTGTTCAACTGGATTGGCTTCTGTTTGTCTTTCTGTCTGACCAACACCATAGCAGGTCGATATGGTGCAATCTGTGGTTTTGGCCTCTCCCTCATCAAGTGGATTCTTATTGTCAGGGTGCGAGCTCTTTTATCAATGGTGATCAAAGATGTTGTGAGAATGTTATTTGATTTGTTTTTATTGTAAACACCATATTTTCCTGCCTTCAGTTCTCTGATTACTTCACTGGGTACTTCAATGGTCAGTACTGGCTCTGGTGGATTTTCCTGCTGCTTGGTAAGTGACTTCATGGAATTTTTTTTTTTTTCAAGGTTTTTCTTTTGGTGCTGTGAAAACAACACATCATTGTCTTTCCTATGTCTCCAGGTCTCCTGTTGTTCTTTAGAGGTTTTGTGAATTATCTGAAAGTTCGTAACATGTCAGAGAACATGGCCACATCTCACAGGACACGTCTTTTCTTCCTGTACTAAGGTAGGGCACACTATGGTCCTTTTCATATTTAGTACTATTTTTAAAAATCTAATCATAATTTTGCACAAATACCATACTAGTTCTGATGTGAGTAAATCTGGTTCGTTATCTTCAACAGCAAAGATCCAGACAATAGGACTTGGTTTTCTGTAACATCTTCATCGCCATCATTCCTCACTAATGTGAACTTCCTCTTCCTGGGAGGACGTGTTCGACGAGTTTAGCTCAGAGGGGAAGAGATCAGGGAAGTAAGAAAGAAAGGATCAAAATGTTTCCCACTAAAAAGATTTGCTCTCTCACTGAGGTCTCACTGAGGATTGTTTTTTTTGTTTTTTTTTTCATTTTCACTTGGTTTTGATGTAGTGTATGTGCTGTATTAGCGAGAAGGTGACACACTTACACTCACACACTGGGTCAAAGCACAAGATAAAATTATCTCAAAAAGAAAACAGTAAGGATGATAGAAAGTTTTCAAAATATAGAGATTTTTTGTGGTCTAACCACCAAACGTTGAGTTAAACTAACAAACAGACTTTCCGCATTTTAGCCTTTGGAACATTTTCCTTTACGGTTGAGGCTAAGATAAAATTAAGTAAAATAAAATAATATTATGAAAGTGCACTGCTGCTCTGTGGCATTTGATCTTCTATCACCTGTAAAACATCACCATTTCCATTGTATGATCAAGTCTCTCTGGGCAGAGATGTGGTTAGAGGTGGGTCGTATTGGATTTGTGAAAACTTTTATGCAAATTGTTGGGAGCTGTGTCCGTATATAAGGTACTGTGTTAGTACTAAATGTGTCATGAGTTAAATCTTATATATAAGCTATAGGTACTGAATTGTTTGTCAACCGAATTAGTTAAGGATTTAATTTTTTTCTCCATACAGTTTGACAGCCTTTTATTCTAGACCAACATGAATTATAATCTGCAGTTTAGCCTTACACACCACTTCTATTGTCACCTACTGCTTCATCCATCATGAAGTTCAGAAGTATGGTTTTGTGATTAAAAATAGCTCTGGATTGTGGTGTGTGGTAACGAGTGTGTTACAAACCTCTCCTTCATTTGTAATTGGACAAAGCAGTGAACAGATTCTTAGGAGTTGAAGCCAATAAGATCTATAGATCATTTTAACATTTCCTTACAAAAGTCCACAGAGAAAATCGGTAGTGTTTTTGTCATGGCACACTGGACTTGTATAAAAAAAAAAACAATAATTTTTTTTTGTCTTTAAAATTGAAATAGTGACAAGTTCTTGTGCATGTGGTGCATGGGTTAAACCAGCGTCTCTTTAATTTTCCTGACACAATGTAAAAGATTCCCCTTATTTTCATACATCAGCTTGGATGAGGAGTATGGGAAGGTAAGAACAGAGGTTGAGAGGTTGCTAAAGATCAACGCATGTACATAACAAACCAGCGAATGCCAACCAGTCCTAACCTGTGACATTTGCACTTTTAAAGAACCTGTGTACAGAATAATTTGTGAATCTTAAAGTAGGGTCAGAAAAAGTTTTAAAACTGGAATTTCTTAACCATCCTAAACAGGTAATTTTGCTCTTTGCACTACTTATTTTTTTAAAAAAATCCTCATCTTTGTCTTTTTCTCTGAACAGTATTGCCAAAAAAAAATAATTTCTTTAACTTTCTTTCTTTGGATCTTTTCCTTTCTCTAAGGTCAAAGGCCTTTTCAAGCAATATTAAGATATTATCTTAGCTCTATTGCATGATGTGAACAGCAGTTTAATCAAAGTAAACGGTAAAATGTTAATTGTAAATATTTTTTTCCCCGTAACATCATGTGCTTTGTTGTTAACTGTAACTGGATTAGAATGATTTAAGATGTTTATCCAAAATGACAATAAAAAAATAAATAAATAAGCACTGGTGTTTGAATAGTGTTTTTGCAGTCAACCTGTGTTGGAAGGTGTGAATTACTCAAATATAGAACCGATATTTACAACTATGTGCAATGGAGCAATATGAAATACACTAAAAAGCATGTTTTCTTAACAGCTTTGTTCATTTCCAGCATGAAACAAGATCAATCGTAAGTGCTGTGACCTAAAAGCTGTTTGCTCTTTTTACACAGATTAACACACAGGCACTAAAAGTGGTCAAAGTGATGCATGCCCTCTTTATTCAAACACTCTGTATGGGAAATAAATAATGTCACCTTTATTTTCATGAGTGTTTTCCATGGTCTGTTCTCGCTTTCCCTTCTTGACGCTCCATCTCTAACATCCATGGTCTGGTGGCTTCCAATGTTGGTGCAAGGTTAAAAGACATCAGGTGATGTTTGTGTTTTGTGTGTGTTGTTCTGTTTGTGTTCTGGCAGTAGGTAATAGGAGTAGAGAAAGGCAACTTGTTTGTATTTAGTACTGACAGCCCATCAATAATAATAATAACAGTAACTCAATTTTTAAATGGAAATTCTGTCATGTACCAAATTACAATGTAATAGAATGTATTTCATAGTTTGATTAGTTCATTAAAGTGTTTTTGTACAACTGGAAATGAACAAACAAACTAACCCAAACAAACTAACCCTAACCCAAACAAACTAACCCTAACCATTTTGATAAAAAAGACAATGCTATGAAGATAGTATATAATATATATTTTATAAAATGTTTTCCTTTCAGAGGTAAACCTTTAGAATATTTGTACAACTGTATTCATCCAAAATCACATAATCACATAGGACAGAGCGAAGAGACAGGGTAAATAGTTGTGTTCGAACTCTAACTATGGCCAGCCTTCCTAACTGCTCTAAACTTTCCAGCAAATAGTATATGTGTTGGACTGTGTATATGCTTTGGGAAAATGAGTTAATACCAACAACTGTCTGATGAAGCAGAGTCACGTAACAGCTGCAAACACGTCACTGACAATGTTTTAAAGCTCGTGAATTTGTGAAACAATAGAACTCTTCAAGCAAAGTATGCTTGAGGAGGATTCTAAAGCAGCAGGTTGGAGGCACTGATGCTGCCTGAGAAGAAAAGAGACATGGACAGTGTAAATGAAAATGCCAAAACGAACCCATTTGGAACAGCAAGCCTTTTCTCTAAGCTACTTTTCTGGTAAGTGCTCTATGTGTTTTGGGTTTTTTGTTGTTTTTTTTTTTTTTTAACTTTTTCTTACAATCTTCAAATGTATGGTAAATGGTAGATTCATTTTAATTTGTTTTCTCCCCAAAGATATAAACCTTTTGTATTTAATATTTACTAAAGTAACTGACATTTTCATCATTTAGGTCCAATAAAATACACTTTAAATTGGAGTCTGTCAGCATTTAATGTGAGTATAGTTAATGTGAGTGTGAAATGTTCGACCCCAAATCTAAACATAAATAAACAGTAGATATGTAAAATATTGTGAGACATAAGTCACACTTCATATAAAACTGAAAAGGATAGGGATTCATTCATTTAAGAACCTTAAACTTGGTGATTGGTGATTCACAGAGATTAACAATCCATCTTTTTATCTTTCCAGAAGATGAAATCATCATTATAATCCATTCAGTGATGCAGGCTGGAACAAGTTGTTGTTGTTTTAAAAACCTCCTGCAAACCTGATTTTCTTTACTCAACAGACTCTGGAATATGGAACTCCAGAAAGCGGCCAAAGAAGCACAGACGCCAAGTCTCAGACGTGTTGTTGTTAAATGGATCTTGGGAAAAAAATTTAAAATTGGCTTTAATTGCCCTCTTATTGGTCAGTGTTATGTGAAAGTCTGTTAATGAAAACCCTTTCTATGTATAAGCATGTAGTGATGCTCACCAACCATCACATCCTCTTGTCAACAGGAAACCTTTAAATTAGCCCATATGATCTTCTTAGAGAAGATTATTGAATACTTGTTATTCAACAATTACAACCCAAATGATTACGTGACCTACCACCAGGCTCTGGGCTGCACAGCTGGACTGCCTCTCTCCATCTTAATCTATCCAGCCATCGTTTGTTTTTAAAACTTGACTTATAATCGTCTTGAACAGGTGAGCCAGATTGTTGCTGTCACGATACTTTTGTGGCTCAGGATTGGTCCATCCTGCCTGCCAGGCCTCGGGTTGCTGCTGATTGTGATGCCCCTGCAAATGTATATTGGGAAGTTCTTTATCACTTTAATTAATTGTAATTAAAGGTAATTGACACGCACCAGTCTAAAAGTGTACCATCCACAGTTTCCATTGATCTCATGATGTTGTTCCTTAGACCTAAGATTTCAGTGATAAAAATACATATAATATACAGTAGTACACACATTGACATCCTTTTCTAACTACTGTGAACTCTTTGTGGATTTTACATTAACAGGTGACTTTCTTTATTTAAAGGGACTTATTCTGTCGGACAACAGGATTCACACAATGAATGAAGTGGAGTCGGGAGTGAGGATCATCAAGATGTATGCATTGGAGAAAGGATTTACTGCTCTGGTTCCTGACATCAGAAGGTAAAATCAGATCATGATTATTTACATTGCACTTCACCCCTGCACAGATATTTGAAATGTTGTTAAATGGTTAAAATTTAGAAAAAATATACTTTTTGGTACACCAACTTTTGATCACAGTAAAATACTTTACCAATAATTTCTTGAACAAATCTCTGAAAATAAAAGTTTCTCAAAAATGACTAAAAATACACTCATTTGGCTTAAAATACTTAGCTATGTCCATTTCTATGGTTAAAACTCAGAAAAAATATACTTTTTTGGTACACAAACGTTTGGTCACTTTTAATTCTCATACCTATAAGTTCCTGAACAAATCTCCGAAAATAAAAGTTTCTCAAAAATGACTAAAAATACACTCATTTGGCTTAAAATACTTAGCTATGTCCATTTCTGTTGTTAAAATTTAGAGAAAATATACTTTTTTGGTACACCAACTTTTGATCACAATAAATTCTCATACCAATAAGTTCCGAAACAAATCTCCGAAAATAAACGTTTC